AGAACTAGACGGTGAGACTCGAAGAAACACAAAATCTGACTAAATACTTTTTTGCCCCACTGTAAATTATTTTTCGCATCTGAGGACATCTAAAGCCTTTGTTTTTAGGTGTCGGCTATAACCATGTTTAACTTACAGAAATATGTTAATTCAGATCAGCTAGTCCAGTTTGAAAGTGACTGTTGAGGTAAGACAAAGTTTGGAGTAAGCACTTTATTTCTGGTCAGTTGTTTCTACTGTATGTACAGTTCCTGAATAGAGATACCCTTTGTAACTCCAGCTAACAATGATACTGAACTCTGTTTGAAAACAGTAACTTATTGATTAGAACCAAATGTATGAAAAAATGGCCTCTTGGACTTATATCAGTGTAAGAAATATATAAGATGGCAGAATGCATCTTTTCAGAAACATTCATATGTGTTAACATTTTAGTTTGACTGCATCCGAAAGTGGAATACAGTATAAATTCCAGGCGGCCCACATTTATATACAGTCTATACCTTTTTATGCCAACTCAGTATCATATCGAGTCATTGAATGTATATATTTTAAAAGAAAGTATTTTATAGGTTTGCAAAACTCTCTTTAAACCCTCTATAAATGTTATTTCTAAAAAAGAAAAAGTTACTGTTAATTTTTAATGTGTTTGATTGATTAATTATCAGCATAAATGCCATTTGTTTTCAGTCCATCACATGACATTACTATGATCCATGAATTTGGCCTACCCTCTGAAAGGACAAAATACTGTATGTGTATGTGTTTGCATTGAGCGCCCTCATGTGGTAGAAGTGAATTCAAGGACATTGATGAGTGTGAACAAATTGAGAGACATGGCAGTTCTTTGCATAGAGGGCATCTTAAAACCTTTAATAAGTCAAAATTAAATACAAATATGGAACAAATTTCCTGTAGTACAAAGAGTTTACTAACACATGACTTACTATCCACAGAATGTAGCAGAGAGAACAACAAGTAAGACTCCAGTTTGATGTCATTGCTACAGATGAAAGCTCGTCATCTTAATCTCAACATGGGCTTCGGATCCACGAAGAGAGAAACAGATATGTAAATAATTTAAACCAACCTGGTTTAGTTTGTCAGCTCTGAAGAGTTATTTGAAGTTCACACATCACATCGACATAGTGTTTATTCTGTTGCAATAACAGTGAGGCAGTGTGGCATTTCCTACAAGTCAGTATCGCTGATACAGCATAACATCAATCGGCTCAAATGTGACTTTGTTCCCCAGCCTGTGAAGGGTTTTTTTTTTATGCCTACTGACACATCTCATGCACAGAGAGGTATCAGTGTCCTTTGACAGATTTAAAAACATGCCGATGTGTTTAGGTGCAGATGCCAAAAGCTGCGAGTTACAATGCGCTGACCTCGTTTTCCATTAAAGATAACATCTAACATTCACTAGTTTATGTATGTAAAGAGAAACATTCTTAAGTCACATCTAGTAAAGGGGCCTCGTAAAAGAAGGATAATAAAAATGCTGAATTTTAAAAAATAAATAAATACACCGCACAAATCAAAAGCGTCATATTGTGAGTTTGAACTCACAGAAAAGCACATTCTCATCCTAATGGGATCGTGAAAACAAAACAAAAAAAACACTACAGGTACAGGCACTTCTTTTTTCTGTAAAAAGTAGGTCAGTTCAAACCTGTGAAGAAAGCCAAAAATAGGATAATATTACAACATCATCAAAAATTTGCTCGTTTAATATCTCAACTCGGATTCCAACCCAAGATTTTCGTATCTCACTCAGCTCCAGTCTCCACACGCCTGTGTCTGAGAACAAAGGTTACACCCATATGAAAATACAGCAATCTTGAAGTTTTCTGCATCTAATAACCTCACAGCATGAAGATTAAATCATTTAAGCTAAATAATATCAAT